TTCTCCGGCGGCACTGGCCCCACCCGGGCAGGTGCGCTGGCACAGCTGCTGTGGGACAGTCCGGTTCCTCCCACGTGCGCAGATGGTAGCCGCAGGCCCAGCAGTTCCACTCCTAGCTCTCTACGCAGGAGAAACAGACTTCTGTGTGCACATGGACACTTGCATGTGCTCACAGTAGCCCAGCCCCATTAGTGCAGACATGGTGGTACACATACAATGGATGGCGACTTGGCCATACGAGGAGCACAGGACTGCTTGTGTGCCCACATGGCGGCCCTAGAAACCACCGCGCTCGATGAAAGCTGGACACTGATGGCCACAGAACCTGGACCGCCCGCTCTCTGTCCCGCACCACCTCCATCAGCTTCCCCTCTTGGCATCTGATGCCTGGAGCTGTTTGTCTTGGAGACATGAGTACCCTACTTTTGTTACCCACTGCTCTGGCACTTCACCCTCATCCCTCTGTCCATGCCATGGTCTCTGACCTCTGTCTGGCCTCTGCTTCCTCCCAGGAGCTGTTCCTGGCATCACGTGCTTTTCTGTCACAGTCTAGACCCCACAGTTGTAACCGACAGTCTTCCCTCCCTCAAAAGCCTGGACTTCCTGGGCCCTTGAAGTCCCCAGAAGAGCAGGGTTTTTACACAAGAAATCTACTGGAGACAGCAGTGGGCAGCAAGAAAAGGGCCAGCTCTAATGGTCCTGGGACAGGAAGATTCTGGGAAGACCCCAAAGACTCTATGCAGGGTCTCATGTGGTCCTGAGGTAAAAGCCTCGGGGGTCAGTGGGGGATGGTCAGCTCAGGGCAGTGCAGGGTGGAAAGGGGGCAGAGTACATGCCTGTTGCCTTCTGAGGCCTGGCCCAGAAAACTAGCAGAGTACAAGGCCCATCATGTCCTCAAGGCCACAGGCTCTGAAAGGCAGCAGAGACTCAGCTCTCCTTTCCAGACGTCCTAAGGGCTGGACAGTCATTGTGGACAGAGGGAAGGGGTCTGTAGGCCCTTGTGCCTGGGTCATCCTGTCAACAGCTGGCACCTTCCTGGAGACGCACTCACTGCCCTCTGTAGGTGTTCTTCACGCGTTGGGCAGGTGAGACCAGGGCCCTGGAGAACGATGCTGCAAGGCCACTGGGCTGGCCCTGGACCCGGAGCCACGAGTATCCAGCCTGCAGGGCCTCTCGGCTTCCCTGGTTGAGAAAAGCTCGCCACTGCCCATGGGCCCTAGCACTCTCCTTGAAGCACCTGGAGACCTCACTAGCCACCAAGTACTGGGGACACAGGAGGAATGAAACAGATAAAACCTTTTGCCTTCATGGAGCTGGTGGCTCAAGGTGGGGAGAGAGAATGCAGACGGACAGGTGGCATCGGGTGTTCAGCATCTGGGATAGCATGAGGCAGGGAAAGAAGAAGTATGTAGGACAGGCCTTGCTTAGAGGCTGCCTGAGAGCAAAGAGTGGAGAGAAGGTGAGAGACTGAGCATGTGCCATGGCCCTGAGGCAGAGCATGCCTGGTGACATGGGGATAACAAAGAGGATAGGAAGATAGCAGGAGAGGGGGCCTAGAGTTTTTGGCACCTTTCATTTTTTAAAGAATAATTATTTATTGATGTAATTAATTCCATTTGTTATTATTATTTTTAAAATTTGACCAGTGAGAGACAGACAGAAAGGGAAAGCGAGAAAGCAAGCCGCCAGGTTCAGGACTTGAACTGCGGTAAGCCATGTGGGAATCCAGAGCCTTTAACTACCACCGCCACCTGCTGGCCTACTCTTTTTTTTTTTTGGAGAGATTTTCACTGTAGGGCACGTGCGCTCACCAGACAGACAGAGACAGAGAGAAAGAAAGCGAAGAATCACCAGGGGGATGGTCACGCAGCAATCCTTTCTGCTCCATTCTCCTCTTGGGATCTTGGGCACACACGCACACGCGCCCGGCATGATTTTAAGCCACCGGGTGCGGGACTCGAATCATGGTCGACTACATGGGAGTCCAGTGACATAGCCATTACGCTAACTGCTGGTCCCCTGGCCCACTCTTGACATCTTTCAAAAGAAACTGGCTGAAGGAAGCCTGAGGGCAGGGACAGGAACTCCTGCTTCTCTGAACCTACCACAAAGCCTGGCACAGCAGAGGCTCCAGATAAGCCCTAGGCCCTCAGGGCAGGGCGAGGCCTTGGGGGCCAGCCGGCTGTGCCTGTGCAGGAGCTTCTTACTGGGCCAGCTCATGTACTCTGGGCCAGGTATGCTGACCAGGTTCAGCATGGCCAGAGCTGGGTCCACCTTTCAGGTGCAGATCCATGAGCAACCCCAATTAGACCCTTTCTTTTTTCTTTTTTTTGGAGAGTTTTTTTTTTTTTCTCTAGGGCACGTGCACTCGCCAGCCAGAGAGAGAGAGAGAGAGAGAGAGAGAGAGATAGAAAACGAGAAATCACCCCCCCAGAGGGGATGGCCATGCCGCAATCCCTTCTCCTCCATTCTCCTCTCAGGATCTTGGGCATGCACGCACACGCACCCGGCATGAGTTTTAAGCCACCGGGTCCAGGACTCTAACTGCGGTCGACTACGTGGGAGTCCAGCGACATAGCCATTATGCTAACTGCTGGTCCCAGACCCTTCCTTTTGAAGGGTCAATCAGAGATGGACAGATAGCTGAAGTTATAGCAGCCCAAGGGGGACGTGTGTGTAGGGAGTCAGAGATTTCCATTTCTAAAATGTCAGTATATATGTGAGTGGACTTCAAAAA